TTTTTTTATCAAATTTCTGACAAACTTCTTATAAAGTAGCATAAAGTCAGTATTTTTAATTTATGTACTAGTTATATCACTAACGATAGTAACCAATGCAAAAAAATAATCAACTTTTTAGTCCTACAATCTTACAAAAAATTTCTTTTTTATTACAATTTTTGCCACAAAAGTGTTTGCATCAATTTGCCCTTAAAACTGACTTGTTTCTTTTATGTTTAAAAATTGTTTTGTTTTTTACAAATTAATTTTTAATTTAACAAACTTTACATAATTTAAAAATTTAAAATGCAATCCAACAAATTTGCTATTGGAATTGACCTTGGAACATCATATTCTTGTGTCGGAGTTATGAAAAATGGAAAAGTTAAAATTATTTACAATCAAGAAGGCAGAAAAACCACACCATCTTTTGTTGCATTTACTAATAATGATATATTAGTTGGCGATTTTGCTAAAAACCAAATGACAATAAACCCTGAAAATACTGCATTTGACGCTAAACGACTTATTGGCCGACTTTTTGATGACCCTACTATACAAAATGACATAAAACACTGGCCTTTTAAAGTGATAAACGAGAATGGAAAACCGAAAATTGAAGTAGAGTTTAAAAAAGAAAAACAATGTTATGCTCCTGAAGATATATCTTCAATGGTACTTAAGAAAATGAAAACAATTGCTGAAAATTTTTTAGGAACTATTGTAACTGACGTTGTGGTTACTGTCCCAGCATATTTTGCAAACCCTGCTAGGTTGGCAACAAAAAATGCTTGCATTAAAGCCGGTCTAAACTTGTTGGGCATGATTAACGAGCCAACAGCTGCTGCTCTTGCTTATGGTCTAGAAGAAAAGTTTCAAGAAAAAAAGAATATTCTAGTATTTGACTTAGGTGGTGGAACTTTTGACGTTACCGTGCTCACTATAGAAAATAACAACTTTAATGTTAAATCAACCTCTGGTAACTGCCATTTAGGTGGGGAAGACTTTAATAGTCTTCTTGTCACGTATTTAATAAATGAATTTGAAAACAAACATAAAATTGATTTGTCAACAAACAAACGGGCAGTTAGTCGAATTCGTCTTCAATGCGAAAAAGCCAAACGGTATCTCTCTTCAACGTTAGATACTACTATTATAATTGATTCAATTTATAAAAACTGTGATTTAGAAATTGTTATTACTAGAGATTGTTTTGAAAAACTTTGCTTTGACCTTTTTAATTCAACATTGGAATCGGTAAAAAGTGCACTACATGATGCAAACCTTAAAAAAAGTGAAATAGATGATATACTCCTAGTTGGTGGCTCAACACGTATTCCTAAAGTGCAAGAGTTGTTGAGAAACTTTTTCAATGGCAAAAATTTAATTAAATCGATAAATCCTGATGAAGCTGTAGCTTATGGAGCAGCAATCCACGCTGCATTTCTTCACAAGCAAGTTAGCGACACATTGATTCCAATGCTTCAAAACCTCCAACTTACTGATGTCACACCATTTTCAATTGGTACTGAAATTGGTAAAGATGAGAATATGAGTTTTGTAATAAAACGCAATTCAAAAATTCCTTGTAAAAAAACACAAACATATGTTACTGCTAATGATAACCAAACCACAATGTCGTTTTCAATTTATGAAGGAGAAAATGAAAACGCCAACAAAAANTTTTTTAAAATTGATGGAATCTCTCCTGCTCCAATTGGTAAAGAAAAAATTGATGCTACTTTTGAAATTGATAACAACGGAATACTTAATGTTACAGCAGTGAATAGAAGCACTAGTAAACAAAATAGCATTACCATTTCTTTAAACTGGAAATAACTGAAAGTGTGCATTATAAATAAAAAATGATGTTTGACGCAGCTAAGTTGGACTCTAATTGTAATTTTCGAAACACAATTTTTATATTTTTAATAAACACAATTTATTCTTTTTGTTAGTTTGTAAAAAACATCTTGTTTTTAATAAATTTTAAAAATTTTAAAAATTTTAATACAATAAAGTTGTTAAACAATTTGCTGAGCAACATATTTAACAGAAAAATCCGAAACATTTGAAATGCTAAGTAATAATTTTTTTAAGTACTATATAGAAATGTATAAAAACATTTCATAAAAAAATATAATTTTCTATTTTAAAAAAACCATGAATTTTTTTAAGTTTTTCTTCCTCTCTACTGTTGGACTACTTTTGTCTACCAACACTTTCGTTGTACCAAAACATGTTGAAACAAAAACCAAAAACTTTTCTGGAGCCGACGGCGACGAAGTGGTAAAAAAACTGCCGCTGGTAGACTTTCCGCTAAAATACCGCCACTACTCCGGCTACCTGGATTCCATTGAAGACATCAAACTGCACTACTGGTTCTTTGAGTCGCAAAATAAACCCAAAGAGGATCCAGTGGTACTTTGGCTCACCGGCGGACCAGGGT